GTGAAGGGATGCGGGGTGAAGGGATGCGGGGTGAAGGGATGCGGGGTTGAGGGCAAAGTGGGGACAGAAAGTGGAGACAGTCAGAGAGGGGAGAGAAAAGCAAGCAAGCAGAGGAGGAGTGATGGGGGAAGGAGAGAGTGCAACCGGAATGAAGAAGCCATGTAAGGGAGTGAGCAAGGAGGGAAAGGACGCGCAGGAGAGAAGGGACACGAGGAAGGAACAAGGTAGGGAAGGAGGGACACAAGAGGGTGAGGAATGGATCAGAGATGGAGGCATAAAGAGAGAATGCATTACTGCAGGATATTTTCTAGCCAGGACTGAGCAGTATGTTCTGTTTGCGTGCTAATTAAATAGGCCAAATTAATATCCAATCAAGCAACATTGCAAAACACACCTCTTAGGATCCTTAAGGGTAAGACCTCAGTGCATTTCTACTAGCATGCATCTCCAAGATCGATTGCTCACTCTTCGCTCCCCCAGGAAAGAACATTGTTGAATTTCATTAACTGACACACACTCATACTTAGGAATTTCATTCAACTCAGCAAAGTAGCCACAGTGCGTTATGAACTTCTGTTGATAACTAACTGCTCCTTACCGCTGTGTTTTTTAATGCATTCTGAGCAGCTTCCACAGTAATAACTGCATTCCAATCTGATGTAACCTGGGCCTCGTATCGGTCAAGCAACGTTTTCATTGACTTTATAGCATCGACACTCCAAGGAGTTTCTAAACCTTTCAAGGAGAGAGATTACAAGTCTCAGTGAAGAAGTAGACTGCAGCAAGTTATTAGCATCAAAAATGAAATAACCCCAATGCAATGGCCTCAACCGTGATCTTGGGTTCATGTCACACTACAGGTGACCCAACCACACTGTTCTGTATCTGTAAAATCTTCCTTACTTTCCCGTGTTGACAGCATCATCTTGATAAATGTTATGATCTATACCTTAATTCGTTTGTACAGTACTGAATTACTTATTACACTCTCTCACATACATACAAATCCTCTCCCACAGTCTCTCTCACACACAGAGGTACACACTCTCACAAACACACTCACAGAGGCCATCTCTCTCTCACTCTCTCAAGCACAAGCACACATACATTCTCTCCACAGCCACCACACTCCAAACACACACACACACAAATCTATGGGGTGAATAATTTCATACAAGATGTTTGTTTATTTGTAGATACATTCTATTTTGTTCAAAAAACACGCAATTTGTAGTTACATTCAGTGAGTGTGGCATCTTATAAATTCCAGCTTTTAGAAAAGAACCAGCTTGTTTTCAGGTTAAAACCCCAAGACAGATGCTGAACAAAGCCTCACACCTACAATTCATTGTCTGACCTGCGAGGTCACCTTTTGTACATTCCTATCGCTCTGCCTGATTATCATGACAGCACAGCACTGACATTGACTTTATAAACACTTTACTTCCCTCTAACACTCTTGGTCACCTGCACAGACTTATTATCTGACACTCCCCTCACACCAGCTGTATGATCTTTTGAGCTCTCTGCCAATAACCTCCATATCTGTGTGCCTTGCTCTCTCACTGCACCTGACAAAGGGACTGCACTCTGAAAACTTGTGTGATTCCAAACAAACCTGTTGGACTATAACCTGGTGTCATGTGACTTCTGATTTTGTCCACCCTAGTCCAACACCGGCATCTCCACATCGTAAACTATTTCACTGAAAGTTTGAGACACAAAAATCATATACAGGAGAAAGCTATTTGACAAATCAAGACTGATTTCATTTGATTTGATTTGATTTATTACTGTCACATGGGCAACACAGTGGCTCAGTGGTTAGCACTGCTGCCTCACAGCGCCAAGGACCCGAGTTTGATTCCACCCTCAGATGACTGAGTGTATGGAGTTTGTCCGTTCTTCCTGTGTCTGCATGGGATTCCTCCAGGTGCTCCAGTTTCCTCCCACAGTCCAAAAATGTGCAGGTTAGGTGCAGTGGCCGTGCTAAATTGCCCCACAGGTTAGTTGGCTATGGGAAATGCAGGGTTACAGGGATAGGTCTGGGTGGGAAGCTCTTCAGAGGGTCAGTGTGGACTCAATGGACCAAACAGCCTGCTTCCACACTGTAGGGATTCTATGTACCAAGGGCCAGTGAAAAGTATTGTTTTGTGTCCTAACCAGACAAATTATACCTTACCTAAGTGCATCAGGGTAATAGAGCAGAATGCATAATACAGTATTACAACGACAGACGTGCAGAGAAAGATTGACTCCAATATATGAGAAGTCTATTCATAAGTCTGATAACAGTGGGGAAGAAACTGCTCGTAAATCTGTTGATATGTCTTTTCAAACTTTTCCATCTACTGCCCAGTAGAAGAGGGGGGAACAGAATATAACCGGGGTGGAAGGGTCTTTGATTATGTTGGTTGCTTTCCCGAGGCAGCGGAAAGTACAGACCAAGTCAATGGATGGACGGCAGGTTTTTATGATGGACTGAGCTGTGTTCACAACTCTCTGTAACTTCTTGCAGTCTTGGGCAGAGCAGTTGCCATACCAAGCTGCGAAGCATCCGGATATAAAAACCAAAAGAACTGCGGATGCTGTAAATCGGGAACAAAAACAAAGTTGCTGGAAAAGCTCAGCAGGTCTGGCAGCATCCGTGGAGGAGAAAACAGAGTTAACTTTTCGGGTCCGGTGACCCTTCCTCAGAACTGATAGTGGCTAGGAAAATGTCAGTTTATATGCAGAAAATAGGGAAGTGGGTGGGGTAGGGAGTAAACAATAGGATTGAGCCCAAAGAGAGAGAAAGACAGTTGGACAGACAAAGGAGTTGCTAACGATCAGGCTGGGAGGGTGAATAGTTGTTAATGGGGACTGTTAGAGACTAACAACAGGGAGTGTGTAGTGGCAGGCTATGTGGTAACAAGGCCTGGTGTGTGGGGTGGGGGGCTGGAACATGGGAGAGTTTAGGGCCTAAAATTATTGAACTCAATATTGAGTCCGGAGGGCTGTAGGGTCCCCAAGCGAAAAATGAGGTGTTGTTCCTCCAGCTTGCGCTGGCCTTTACTGGAACACTGTAGCAAGCCGGAGACAGGGATGTTGGCCAGAGAGCAAGGTGGTGCATTGAAGTGGCAGGCAACAGGTAGTTCAGGTAGTGCTTGGCCTGCTGTGTTCATCCAGCTCTACACCTTGTTATCTCAGGTAGTTCAGGATCTTTTCTGCGAGCAGAATCAGCATCCAGATATGTTGCTTTCTACGGTGCATCAACAAAATCGCCAAGAGCCACTGTGTACATGCTGAATTTTCAGAGGAAGTAGAGGTGTTGGTGTGGTTTCTTGACTGTAGCATCGATGTGGATGGTCCAGTATAGATCACTCGTGCTATTTACTGCCAGGAACTTGAAGCTCTTGACTACCTCCACTTCAGCATCACTTATATAGACAGGGTCCGCTCCATTATTTAATAAGATCATACTGATCTGATTGCAACACTAACTCCACTTTCCTGTCTGCCCCAATAACGCTGTACTCACTTGTCAATTAATACACTACCCCAAACAATGAACCAGCCTCCACTGCTCTCCATAGAAAAGAATTACAAATACAAATGACTCTCAAAGAAGAAATGCCCACCTGCCTCATTTCGAATGCAGGATTCTTTTTTTAAATCATTTGTGGAACGTGGAAGTGCACTGGCTGGCCAGCATTTACTGCCCATTCCAGGTTGCCCTTGAGGTGGTGGTGGTGAGCTGCCTTCTTGAACCACTGCAGTCCATGTGCTCCAAGTTGACCAACTATGTAATTAGGGAGGAAATTTCAGGATTCTGAACCAGCGACAGTGAAGGAACAGCGATATATTTCCAAGTTAGGACAGTGAGTGGTTTGGAGGGGGAACTTGAAGGTGGCAGTGTTCCCATGTATATGCTGCCCTTGTCCTTCAGATAGAAGTGGTCGTGGGTTTGGAAGGTGCTGTCTGAGGATCTTTGGTGAATTTCTGCAGTGCATCTTGTAGATAGCACACACTGCTGCTACTGAGCATTGGTGGTGGAGGGAGTGGATATCTGTGGATGTAGTGCCAATCAAGCAGGCTGCTTTGTCCTGGATGGTGTCAAGCTTCTGGAGTGTTGTTGGGGCTGCACTCATCCAAGCAAGTGGGGAGTATTCCATCATACTCCAGTCTTATGCTTTGTAGATGGTGGACGGGATTTGCAAAGTCAGAGGGTGAGTTATTTACCACAGTATTCCTAACCTCTGACCTGCTCTTATAGCCATTGCATTTATGTGGTGAGCTGCCTTCTGGTCAATAATAACACCCACGATGTTCAGAGTGGGGGATTCAGTGATGGTAACACCATTGAAATTCAAGGGCTGGTGGTTAGATTGTCTTTTATTGGGTGATGGCCATAGCCTGGCATTTGTGAAGCACAAATGTTACTTGCCACTTGTCAGCCCAAGCCTGGACACGTCCAGGTCTTGTTGCATTTGAATATGGACAGCTTTAGTGCCTGAGGAGTTGCAAATGGTGCTGGACATCGTGCAATCATCAGCAAACATTCCCAATTCTGACTTTATGATGGAGAGAAGGTCATTAATGAAGCAGCTGAAGATGGTTGGGCCTAGAGCACTACCCTGAGGAACTCCTGCAGAGATCTCCTGGAGCTGAGATGACTGACCTCCAACAGCCACGACCATCTTCCTATGTGTCGGGTATGACTCTAAGCACCAGTTTGTCCCCGGATACCCATTGATTCCAGTTTTCCTAGGGCTCCTTGAGGCCAAACTCAGTCAAATGCAGCCTTGATGTCAAGGGCTGTCACTCTCACCTCACCTCCGGAATTCAGCTCTTTTGTCCATGTTTGGACCAAGTCTATAATGAGATCCAGAGCTGAGTGGCCCTGGTGGAACCCAAACTGGGCGTCACTGAGCAGGTTATAGCCGAGCAGGTGCTGCTTGATAGCACCGTTGATGACACCTTCCATCACTTTACTGATGATTGAGGATAGATTGATGGAGCAGTAATTGGCCGGGCTGGATTTGTCCTGCTTTTTATGTACAGGACATACTTGGGCAATTTTCCACATTGTTGGGTAGATGCCAGTTTTGTAATTATACTGAATCAGATGGCTAGGGGACCAGGGAGTTCTGAGCACAAGTCTTCAGTACTATTGCCAGAATGTTTTCAGGGCCCGTAGCCTTTGCAGCAAACAGTGTCTCCAACCATTTCTTGATATCATGTGGAGTGAATTGAGTTGGCTGAAGACTGGTATCTGCTATGCTGGGGACTACTGGAGGAGGCCAAGATGGACCATCCACTTGACACGTCTGGCTGAAGATTGCTGCAAAAGCTTCAGCCTTATCTTTGGAACTGATGTGCTGGGCTCTTCCATCATTGAGGATGGGGATATTTGTGGAGCCTCCTCCTCCAGTGAGTTGTTTAATTGTGCACCACCATTCACAACTGGATGTGGCAGGGCTGCAGAGCTTAGATCTGATCCGTTGGTTGTGGGATCACTTAGCTCTGTCTATTACTTGCTGCTTACGCTATTTGACATGCAAGTAGTCCCGTTTGGTGGCTTCACCAGGTTGACACCTCATCTTCAGGTACGCCTGGTGCTGCTCCTGGCATGCCCTCCTGCATTCTTCATTAAACCAGGGAAGATCCCCTGTCTTGATGGTAATGGTCGAGTGGGGGATATGCCAGGCCATGAGGTTACAGATTGTGCTGGAGTACAATTCTGCTGCTGTAGATAGCCCACAACGTCTCATAGATGCTCAGACTTGAGTTGTTAGGTCTGTTCGAAGTCTGTCCCATTTAGCACAATGATACTGTCACACAATGGAGGTTATTCTCAATGTGAAGGCGTGACTTCATCTGTACGGTGGTCACTCTTACCGATATGGTCATGGATAGATGCATCTGCAGCTGACAGACTGGTAAGGATGAAGTCAAATATGTTTTCCCCTCGCTACCTGCCATGGACCCAGCCTAGTAGCTATGTCCTTTAGGACCCGACCAGCTTGATCTGGAGTACTGCTGCCGGGCCACTCTTGGTGGTGCACTCAGAGTACATTTTGTGCCCTTGCCATCCTCAGTGGTTCCTCCAAGTGTCGTTCAACCTGGAGTACCACCGATTCATCAGCTGACAGACAACCGTATGTGGTAATCAGCAGGAGGTTTCCTTGCCTGTGTTTAACCTGAAGCCACGAGACTTCATGGATCTGGAGTCAATGTTGAGAACTCCCAGGGTAACTCCCTCCTGATTGTATACAACTGTGCTGCCACCTCTGCCAGGTCTGTCCTACTCATGTAGCAGGACATATCCAGTGTATATCCACACTGTGCCTCCTTATTCTTGATTGCCCAATGAAGGAAAACATTCTCCCAGCATCTGCCCTTGCTGCCAGTTAAGTTGTAGACAAAAGTGTTTTGAAAGCCCTTAAGTTTGCAGAGAGTAGAATGTGAGACACCAGTTAGGAGTTCAATAGAATAATCAAACCTAAAGGTAACAAAGAATGGATGAGGGTTTGTGAAGTTGGATGACATTTTGGAAGTAGAAATAAGCAGTCTTAGACATACAGTGAATATGTGGCCTAAAGCTCATTTTGGTATTAAATATGACACCAAAATTGCAAACAGATTTGTTTCATGTTAGAGTATTGCCAGGAAAAGGAATGGAGTCAGTTGGCAGGGAAAGAAATTTGGAGTGAGGGTTAAAAACAACAGCCTCTAAATATTTAATTTATTTAATTGAAATCTGCTCATCCAATACTGGATATCAAACAAGCAGTCTAATGATACAACAATAGTGCAGGAGTTGAGACAGGTGCTCAGGTAAAGCTAGGCATCAGTGTACATGCAAACTGAAACTGTGATTTGGGATGTGTCATTGAGGGGTGGATTGTAGAGGGCCAAGAATAAACTGTTGAGGCATAACAAAGTAATGGTGATGGAGTGGGGAGAGAAGCCATTGCAAATTACTTTCTGCTGCAATGAGATACATAAAATTAGCACCAGACAAAAGCAGAACAAACCTATCAAACCCGGGGAAGGATATGAAGTGAATATAGCACAGATTCACCAAAACGTGAACTTTTGAGGAAAGGTTGGAGAAACTTCGTTTGTAATCCATTGAGTTTAGAAATCTGACACAATCAAGGTCTTGTAAATGATAAAGGAATGTGGTTGGGTATATCCATAGACACTATGCCCTCTGGCAGGTCAATTCAGAATAAAAGGGCATCATATTAAAATTATTGATAGGCCAGCACCTTTTTCACCCCAAGAATTATAGTGGAAACATGGAACTTTCTTCTGAAATCAATAGATTTTTGTAAGATGTTGATTAAGAGCTATGGAACAAAGATATATAAATAAAGCTGAGATATAGAACAACAATGATCTCACAGCAGAACAGGCACTAAGAGCTAATTAGCTTATTCCTGTTCCTACGTTCATCAACACCTTCACAAACTGAAACAGAGATACAACAAAGATGCATCAGAGTCTAAGAAACATGGCAGTAACTTCACAGTTTGCTTCAGGATAATCTTACGCATACTTACCGGCTAGTACCTGCTGCTTACTCTGCAGTTTCTGCAGAAGTGACATGAATCTATTATTGAAATTACTAAGGTCTTCCTGGAGAAAGTTTGGAGCTTCAGACTTATTGCTAAGCATTTCCCCATGAGCAAGCAGTTTCTTTACTTGTGGAGTCATTTCATTCATTTGATTTACTTCATACTGCAGAGAAGGAAAATAAGCATAAGGTCCAAAACCACAACACATTTTTAGGGAGTTACTTCTCTCTGTACTACAAAAGAAACAGCCAAATTATTCATTTTGTCAACCTTTCCCTCCAACCTGACCAATTTTATTGCAACAGTAAGAACCAGATTAGTTGGTAATCAAGACCAAGACATGGGCTGCAATTTACTGCAATAATACAGATTAGTTGTAACAAAAGAATTGATTTAACTTTCCACAAGCTGAACATTAGAGTGCAGAATTTTTCATTTTTAGTTAAATTTTGATCCAGATTTGATCAAAGATTAATGATATACACTCTACCTCTGGTGTACAAGGATGCTTGCCAAACTATATCATAGTTTTCAGGAATCAGTCTTAGACATTCCTAACTCCAACCACAATTAACGCACTATGCAAATGTAGTAGGCATACAATGATAACACACTGTTACTTTCTCTTTCCTTTCCAAGATTGCTAAGGGTGACTGGCTCGACATTTACTTTCCTCTTATCCTCTCAAACCAGGTGCACCCACGAACCCATACAATGATACATCTGCCAGCAAGATCAAAACAGGTAAAGAACACCCGACTAAAGAGAGCACATTGGAGTGAAAGTTGTACTTTAGAAGGTGAGTACACCCACTGTTAACTCGGTGACTATAAAAATGGCCGAATTGAAGAATAATTTCCAAACAAAGATCACCAAATAAGAACAGGTAGGAAGGTTAATCATAATCTGTGTAACTATCAATTAATATAGATGTGAGCCAATTTCATCTAAATCATTAACGTGAGTCAGCCTGGCCAGAAAAGAAAAATGCAAAAGAAACACAAATTAATTGAAACTAGAGTGAGAAAACCAATACTAATCAACTACAACTATCAGAATACTTCCTCAGCAACCCCTAAAGGTTAGAATTCAGTTCATTAAATTTCAATGTCATTCCAATGTCCCAACCAAGTCCTGTATCTCATGTACAAACTCACTGGATGTGAAGACACCATTAACAATGCAGCATGCAACAGGGAATTTCAATCAGCAGGTGTCCAGAAAATCCACTGGTGATGCCGAGGCAGAGCATTGTATAGCTGCAGCCACAGCACATACATACATGGCTCAGCATTTGCTCATTTCAATGGTCAGCCATTGTAAACACTGAACTTAGTTGGACATCAGACTATTTTTAGTCTTAAAGTCATAGAATCAGACAGCATGGAAACAGACCCTTCGGTCTAACCAGTCCATGATGAACATAATCCCAAACTAAACTAGTGCCACCTGTCTCCCCCTGGCCCATATCCCTCCAAACCTTTTCTATTCATATATTCAACTAAATAGGCTTTAAATGCTGTAATTGTACCCACATCCACCACTTCCTCAGGAAGTTCATTCCACATGCGAACCAACCTCTGTGTAAAAAAATTTGCCTGTTATGTCTTTTTTAAATCTCTCTCCTCTCACCTTAAAAATGTGCATCCTAGTCTTTAAATTCCCCATCTTAGGGAAAAGACAACTACTGAACCATCAACTCCAACTATCTTTCTCATTATTTTATAAACTTCTACCAGGTAAGCTCTCTTTGTCCTATGCTCCAATGAAAAAAGTCCCAGCCTACCTAGCCTTTCCTTATAACTCAAAACCTGCCATACTCAACAACATCCTGGTAAATCTCTTCTGAACCCTCTCCTGCTTGATAATATTCTTCCTATAAGTGCGGGACTGGAACTGGACGTGGTATTCCAGAAGAGGCCTCACAAAGTCCTGTGCAACCTCAGTATAACGTCACAACTCCTATACGCAAAGGACTGAGCAACGATGGCAAGCGTGCTAAATGCCTTTTTAACCATCTTGTCTATGTTACGCAAACTTTAAAGAATTATGTACCTGCACCCCTAGGTCCCTCCGTTCTACAACACTACCCAAGGTCCTGCCATTAATTGTATAAGCCCTACCATTGCCTGTTGTACCAAAATGCAATATCTCGCATTTATCCAGATTGAACTCCATCTGCCATGTTTCAGCCCATTGACCCCAAGATCCCTTTGTAATCTTAGAAAACTTTTTTCGTTGTCTTCAATACCAGCAATTTTGGTATCATCTGCAAGTTTACCAACCATGCTTTCCATATTCTCATCCTAGTCATTTATATAAATGACAAACAACAAAGGACCCAGAACCAATCCCTGTAGAACACCACTAGTCACAGGCCTCCAGCCAAAAAGTAACCTTCTACGATAAATCTGCCTCCTGCCATTGAGCCAATTACGTATTCAGTTGGCAAGCTCACCGTGAATCCCATCTGACCTAACTTTACTAATTAGTCTACCATGCAGAAACTTGTCAAAGGCTTAACTAAAATCCAAATAAACAATGTCTTCTGTTCTGTCATCAACCTTTTTGGTAACTTCCTCAAAAAACTCAATCAACTCTGTGAGACATGGTTTTCCTCGTACAGAACCATGCTGACTAATCAATTTTTACCTCTCCAAATGTCCATAAATCCTATTTTTTATTTATAATCACCTCCAACAATTTACCTATAACCAAAGTCAGACTCACCGGTCTGTGGTTCCCCGGTTTCTCCTTACAATCTTTCTTAAACAAAGGTACAACATTAACCACCCTCCAGTCACCAGGCACCTCACCCATACTTGTAGAAATATTTTCATCATCTGCAAGGGGTCTCATAATTTCCTCCCTTACTTCCCACAATATTCTGGGATACATAAGCTCAGGTCCCGGAGATTTACCCACCTTTCTATTCTCTAAGACCTCCTGAATGTTCTCTTCTGTAATGTGACTGCTTTTAAAACATCAAAGTATATTTCTCTGCATTCTCTACAGTCCATTTGTTTCTCCCATCTCCTGGGAGTCAACACAAAGAGACCTCCTTGATCTTTAAGAGGCCCTACCCTCTCTCTAGTTACCCTCTTGCCTTTAATGTATGTGTGGAATCTCTTCAGATTATCCTTAACCTTATCTGCCAATGCTATCTCATATCACCTCTTTGCCTTCCTATTTTCTCTCTTAAGAATGTCCTGCACTCTTTATATTGATTAAGAGATTCAATTGAACTAAGTTGTCTATAGCTAAAAAAAATTCCCTTTTAGTTTTGACCAGAACCTCAATATCTTTATTTATCCCCCATTGTTTCTTAATCTTACCAGCCTTAGCCTTCACTTTATTAGGAACAAAATGCTGCTGAACTCTCATCATCACACTCTTGAATGCCTCCGGCTCGTCAGACATCCTTTTACCTGTGAACAGTCTACTCCAATCAACTTCTCAAAGTACTTGCGTCATACCATTAAAATTTGCCTTACTCCAATTAAAAACTTTAACTTTTATGGAAGGCATATCCTTTTCCCTAACCATTTTGAAACTAATAGAATTACGATCACCAGACCCAAAGTGTTCCCCCGCTTTTACTTCAGTGGCCTGCCCTGCCTTATTGCCCAAAAAGAGGTCTTAGTTTTGCTCCTTTTCTAGTAGGAGCATCCACATTTCAATACAGAAAATTTTCTTGATCACATTTGACAAATTCTTCACTATCCAAACCTTTAACACTATGGTAGTCCCAGTCAATATTTGGAAAATTAAAGTCTCCCATTATTACAACCTTATTATGCGTACATACACCGGAGATCTCCCTATATGTGTCTTTCAATTTCTCTCTTACTACTGGGGGCCTTTAGTACACTGCCAGTGAAGTGATCTTTCCTTTTTTAATTGTAATTTCTATCCATATATTTTCACTGAACGATTTTTCAAAAATATCTTCCCTAGTTACAGCAGTAATGTACTCCTTAATCAAAAACACCATGCCCCACCACACTCCTTTCTTGTCTTCTTTTCTATCCTTCCTGTAAAATCTAAAACTGGGAACAGTGAGCTGCCAGTCTTGTCCATCTCTCAGCCAAGTTTCTATAATAGCTATGACGTCCCAATTCCATGTTCTTAAACATGCCCTGAGTTCATCAGCCTTACCTGTAAAGCCCCTTGCATTGAAATAAATGTAATTTAGTTCTTCAGAGTTACTATATACTCTGACTGCCTCTTGTCTTTCTTTTCAAATTGACATGCTCTCCTCACAATCAGAACCTATCCCATCAATCCTTCCATTTACACTACTACTTAGAATTCTCCACTTGTCTTCTCTTTCATTATGAAGTCTCCCTTTATAGAATCTCCCTGCTAAGATATTGGTCCCTTTCCAATTTAGGTTAGACCTATCCTTTTTGAACAAGTCTTTTCTATCCTAAAAGACATTCCAAATGTCCAAAAACCTGAATCCATGAACAATACACCAGCTCTTCAGCTATTGATTTATCTTCTTTAACCTTTTGTTCCTTCCCTCATTTCTGGTTTATCTCAATGCCTAACTCAAATTACTACTTTTAAGGTTTTAGTTTTTAATCTTCTACCTGACCTCTTAAATTCACTCTGTACTGCTTTAATCTTTTCCCTAAAAATGTCACTCCTATCAATGTGTACAGTAATTTCTGGCTTCTCAATCTCACCTTTAACAGTATGCTTTAAATGTTTAGAAATGCCCTCAATCCTAGCAACAGGAAAGCAACAAACCATCCTAACTTTACGCTCACTGCCACAGAATCGCCTGTCTATGCCCCTGACAGGACAGATCCTTGTAACAATAATTCTTGTCAAACACTGCCTAACAGAAGAATTGTTCCAAGTGTCCAATGACTGACTGGCCCTTCCATTTTCCTCAGAGAGACTACCCCCTTCAATGTTCCAAAAACTGAATATCCATTTGATAGAGAAATTGCCACCGGAGACTTCTAAACCACCTTCTTACTTTTCCAGACAGTCACCCATCTATCTGACTGGTCCTGCTCAGTAATGACTTTTCTAAATCTACTAGCCATCTCACTCTGTATCTTATATATGGCTTTAATAACATTAAGCCTAAAAAAAGTCTCAATAAGTCTCAATTTGGAATTCAGAAGATTGAGGGGGGATCTTATAAAAACATATAAAACTATGAAGGGAATAGATAAGATAGAAGTAGAGAGGATGTTTCCACTGGCAGGTGAAGCTCGGACAAGAGGGCATAGCCTCAAGATTAGAGGGAGCAAATTTAGGACTGAACTGAGAAGGAATTTCTTCACCCAGAGGGTTGTTAATCTATGGAATTCCTTGCCCAGTGAAGTAGTTGACGCTACTTCAGTAAGTGTTTTTAAAAAAAAAGGTAGATTTTTTTTGAACAATAAAGTAATTAAGGGATACGGTGAGAACGCGGGTAAGTGGATCTGAGTCCATGAAAGGATCAGCCATGATCTTATTGAATGGCAGAGCAGGCTCGAAGGGCCAGACGGCCTACGCCTGCTCCTAGTTCTTATGTTCTTTATAACACCTTATACATAAAATAAACTACCTTTCATTACCTATAGAAAATAATGTTAAAATGGAAAAAAGTTAAAAATATATATATCAAACATATAAAGATTAAATAAAAATCAACCACTTAGCTGATTAATTGAATAAAAACCTCTTCAATAAATTCCTCAAAGGAAAAAAAATCTTCTCCAGTACTAACCACATGTAGCACTCTCGAGAACAAAACACAACTCCTTATTTTAAAAAACTGTTTGGTTATTTTTCAAAATAAGCCTTGGCAATGTCTAAAAAAACCCCGTCTAAAACACATACAGACTTTTTTAATTTCTGAATTAAGTGTAAGAAAAACCTCAGCGGTTCACTGTAGACCCTTAACAAAAAGTTTTAACATCAATCAATGTATCCCCAATTGTTTTAATAACGTGTAACAATTCACATTTATGCTCGAATTGAATGTCATCTTCTATTAATCTGCCTATTTGCAAACCTTCTCCACAACCTTGCCAATTTGCATAGTTATTTCATCAGACTCAACTGTATTCTTAATTAAGTACTATTTGTGAATTTAAATAACTTGTGCTGACTCCAGGCTGGTTTTATATGTTAGAAATAGTACTCACTACATTTTCCAACTCCAACGCACTGCCTAATACATATGCTGAATCTTCCACACCCTCAGGAAACTCCTTACACAGCTCCCCCATATCTTACTTCCATAACATTAGAAATTACTTTATTAATCCATTGAAGGTCACATTTATGATGTCCATGCTTATTTGTACTTTGAGCGCACGTACTCATTTTGGATCCTCAATTGTATTTCCCTCAATTATTATGTTCCTGAACTATTATTTTCTGGGGGACTAATCCCAAGTTAATTTTTAACATTCTTCTTCACCCTCTTCAATTAAGCTATGTGACAATACCCCAAGCATAGGGCAGGTCTTCACAAAATGGGGATTAGGGACCTCTTAGCTGAAATTTCAGCTGTCACGATCTTAGTGGCAGCATTGGCTGCTTTGGAGCACTGCTTTATGCAAGGTCTTTACCCCCCTATACGCTGCTCTCAAAGGTCTTCACCTTACTGTGCTCTCACACCCCTAACCAAGAGATCAAAACAAAATTGAGCCTTGAAATGGGATCACAGTGGGGAAAAAATTTAGGAAGCACTGGTGTAGACAGTAACTCACCTGACAGGATTCCTTCAATACAGCACTGTTTGCACATTTTAGCCAGTCTTCTTTGGATTGCACAATTTTTTCAAACTCTTGTAGTTCTGAATAAATACAGTTAATATTCTCTTGATACTGCAATTTTCCATTCAGCTTGTCCATTTTCTGATTATTATCTTTCCATTCTACTGACAGATTCTCCAGTGTGTGTTTTACTTCCTCTGTTGGTAGTCCTTCTGCAAGAAGTTTATATTGCATATACATATATATTTTATATAACACACAATGGTGAGCAACAGGGTTAAACACCCAGTGAGATCTGCATGAATAAACTCAAACCGAAGTTTACGGGGACTTAAATATAAAAGCAATTCTTTTCAATTTAATTGCAAATAAGAATTGAGAATCTCATCGTCCCATTTCTAAATTCACATTGTTAGCAACACAATGAATCAATCTTCCCTTCTTATTAATTAAAAAAGAAAGCAGATGCCGGAAATCAGTAACAAAACAGAAATTACTGTTAAAACTCAGCAGGTCTGGCAGCATCTGTAGTGTGAAAGCAGAGTTAATATTTCATTAACTGAAGTGCTGAACAAGGGTCATTAGACCGAAAACATTAATTCTGTATTCTCTTCACAGATGCTGCCAGGTTTGCCAAGTTTTCACAGCAACTTCTGTTTTTGCTCCCAATTAATTATTTAGGTTTGATCCAAGACTTGAATTATATTTAAAACTATCCAAATCTCATACACTGTTGATTTCTCTGCTCCATCTTCAGGGGCAAACTGCCAGCTCAAAAAAAGTGGTGCACTTTCTGACATTGCAGGCAAGCCCTAATCCCAGAGTGCATAGCTTTCACATAATCATTCTTAGAAGAGCTTCCAAGAAGGAACAAGAATAAGACTTCTGGGAAGCTATCAGGAGAGAAATTAAAAACATACTAATTAGTCAATTAGCTGCAATCAAAGCAAAAGCAGTCAATTATCAGCATGCCTGTTGCATAGTTAAGATAATTGTACAGACTAAAATTCACACGTACAAATATTTTAAAAGATTTTACACTATAAAACTCCACCAAATTTAGAAAATAATTGCTATCTTTTATTACAAGCCAAAGTTATTTCTACCATCAGGGTTTGATCATTTATTGTTTTTATATTAAGAAAACATGACAGTAAAACCAATGAAAAGCTAATCCATTTAATATTTCCTCTGATTTCACGCTCAGGTTATATACTATTGCACAATGTGCTAGTCAAGCGCTAAAGTCAACACTGCTTCCTGCCTTCCACAGTGACACAAAAGTCTCACAGCTATATATAAAATCTGCAATCAATATAACTTAGATCTGAAGTTGCTAACATAAAAATTAGGATTTTGCCATTAGTAAGGCTAAAAGCAGATCATTCCAAAAATACGGGACAGAACAATTTAAACAAGTCAGGTCAATGAATAAAAAGAAATGCACAATCAAGACTAAGTTGTTCAGCATTAAGGCCAATCGGTAGGGCAGGAATCATAAGATCCAAAGACTGCAGTTTGGAGCTTCTATAGTGCAGAATTGCTACTCAATAAAATCATTCAAGTTTCAATTCTTAGAACACTTGAGAAGAAGGATTTGAAATATGCTTATGATATGTAGACTTGATATAGTTTTACCTTTCTCCATTGATTCAAGCAAGGCCTGTCCCACCTGCTTTAATGATTTTGCCTGTCTCTCTTTTTCAGTCTTCTCCTTTTCCAGAGCCTAAAGTCACCAAATTATTTCAACAAATTTAAGGTCACTGTATTTACACTTCACTGATTTAGTGAAACATACATATGTATAATATTTTAATCAATATTTTTAGTGTCTCTCACACACATAATACATCGCACTCTGCTTCCTGCCACTCAGCCAACTCTAGGTTCAATTTTCCCAATTTCCTCAGACCACTTTTTTTTATTTATTCACAGGATGAAGATGTCACATTAAGTGCCCATCCCTAATTACCCAGACGGTAGTTAAGAGTCAACCATATTATTATGGGCCTGGAATCACATGTAGGCCAGACAAGGTAAAGATGCCAATTTCCTTCCCTGATGGACATTCATGAACCAGATGGGTTTTTTTGCTGACAAGCAACAATGGATTCATTATCATCATTAGACTCTTAATGCCAGACTGTATTTATTAAAATCAAATTCTATCCTTTTCCATGGCAGGAACCAAACCCTGGTCCCCAGGGCATTGTCTGGGTCTCTGGATTAACAGTCCAGTGGTGATACCATAAAGCCATCATCACCCCGCATGGCCTCTTAGCTTTGCTGTCTGTCTCCTGTATGCGGCTTTATCAAACGCTTTGATGGAGGCCAAGTAGACCACATCAAACGCACTGCCCTCATCTACACACCTGATTACCTCTTCAAAACATTCAGTCAAGTTGGTCAGGCATGTCCTCCCCTCGACAAAACTATGCTGACTATTCTTGATTAATCCTTGCCTCTCCGACTGCAGGTGAATTCTGTTCCTCAGAATTGCTTCCAACACTTTCCCCACCAGAGGCATTGGCTTGTATTTCCTGGTTTATCTCTTGCTCCCTTCTTGAATAACAGTACCACAGTGGCTGTCCTTCAGTCTGCTAGCATTTCTCCAGTGGCCAGAGAAGAATTCAAAATTATTGCCAACACCCCTGCTATTTCCTCCCTTGCCTCACTCAACAGCCTGGCATACATTTCAACCAGTCCTGGACGCCTGCCAGACCACTCTCAACCTCCTGTGTTTATGCTAATTTCTTTAATTATACTATAGGCCTTCTCCCTGATTTCTATACCCACATCGTCCCTCTGACTGGAGAACACAGGCAAAGTATTCATTTAGATCCTGACAAAAGATTTGTTGGCTCACACCTTTGGCATTCTAGAAACATATTGGCCCTGAACTCCCCCTATTTCCTTCTTGAACGTGACACAGATTTCTGACAGATTTACTTAAATGTACAGGTTCCCCGATTTACAAACATTTGACTAATGGACATGATCCCATACGAAGTACAATTTTAAATATCTGACATAGAAACATTTCATGTGCTTACAAATAGCGTCTTTACATTTGCCTACATTGTGTTCTGACTTTCATACAAATTGACTTATAAACAGACTCAGGAAAGGAACCTGTTCACAACCCAGGGACTGACTATCAGCTCCCAGTCCACTGGCCAAATCATAATCTTATTAAAGTGGGTCTTCCCCCAGGACAGAACCTGGATTGTGGACAATCCTTGTACTTTTCCATAACAACCTTACATCTAATGGAACTATGACCGCTCTCTGCAAAATGCTTCCCCACTGATACTTAAACCACTTACTGGGCTTCATTACCTAAAGTTAAGTCCAGGGCCGCTCCTTCTCTTTGTAGGGCCTTCCAACACATTGGCTTAAAAAGCTCTCCTGGATACATTTTAAGAATTCTGCTACCTCTAAACCTTTCACACTATGACTATTCCAGTTAATGTTAGGGAAATTGATATCCCCTACTATCACTACCTTATTACTTTTACACTTCTCTGAAATGTGCCAACATATCTGCTCTTCTATTTGTCTCGACTGTTAGGGAGCCAATAGACCACTCCCAGCATTGTGATTGCTTTTGGTTTGAAGTTCTACCCATATGGTTTCATTTGAGGAGCCTTCTAAAATGTCATCCCTCCATTACTGCTGTAATTGATTCACTGATCAATATTGCAACACACCCTCCTCTTTTACCTCCATTCCTGTCTCACCTAAAGATCCTATATACTGGAACATTGTACAGATAATCCTGTCTCTCTCTCAATCATGCATCAGTGAGAGCAATTACATCGTACACTCCTTTGTTTTAATTCCTGCTGTGAATTCATCTGTCAGGTTCTTTGTGTGAACACAAACACATCCAACCTTGTCAAACTCCCTTGTGCCTCAAACTGCCTATAATTTCTGTGCCTTTTTGACTCCCTTTCTATCTCTTCTAATTTTGGTCATTCGTCCTCCTGAGCTGAATATTCTCTCTGAATCCCACTCCCCTGCCAAGACAGTTTAAACCATCAACAGCACTGATAAACCTTCCTATAAGGAAACTCATCCCATTCTGGCTCAGATGAACCCATCTGACTTGTACAGGTCCCATCTGACTTGTACAGGTCCCGCTGCTGCCAAAAATAGTCTCAATGTCCCAGAAATCTGAAGCCCTCCCATCCTGCACCATCTCTCCAGCCATACATTCATGTAGCATCCACCTCCTGTTTTTATACTCATTAGCATGTGGCTCTGTAAGTATTTCAGAGATTACTACCTTTTGAGTCCCATTCTTTAATTTACTTCCTAGCTTCCTAAATTCTGCTTGCAGGACCTTTTCTCTTTTTCTACCTATGTCACTGATATCAATATGTACACCATCACTGTCTGCTTGCCCTCCTCTTTCAGCATGCTCTGAAGCTGTTCAGTGACATCTTTGATCCTGGCACCAGGGTGGCAACATACCATCCTCGAGTCTCTTCTGCGGCTTGTTTCCCTTGCAATTGAATCCCCTAATACTATGGCCATGCTATTCCTCTGTCCTCGGTGTGAGAATTAAATACCATCTAGATGGAAATCTTTTTAACATCATTATTTAAATTTATTATTTTCTTTCAAATAGACAAGTCTCTGTAACTGCAGCCTTACCTTCACCTTTTCCTTCATGCTAGATATATTTTTCTGCCTGGTGAAATCACTGAACATCATGTTGTCGATCGCACACTTCGATTTACCAATCCAACTCAGAAGCTCACCAGCATCAACATCAAATCTAATGATAGAGTTGTCATGTGTTAGCAGAGCCACTAGAGAGATTAGACAAAGTTTTCAATTGTGTAACAGAAAATAATGATTTAGTTAAGTGATTGATACCTGTAATACTTCTATTGCTTGCTTCTTATATTAGAAAAAGGGCACTATTACAGCAAAATACACACCTTTTCAAATTCTGTGCAGGGGGAGAAGGTTGAGGTCAAACAGGGTAGTAAATCAGCCAGGAGTCCATTCTAAAAATATGTGCATCAACATTGGCTTATCACTGGGTTGGGTTTGGCTTTGGCGGCTGTAGGTTACAAGTAAAGAATTGTGCTGGGTGAGTGATAGATGGATGAGCTCATGTGGGACTCTACTCTTGCTGGATTTGCCACTTTCATGGGATTGGGAGTGGGTGTGGGGGATAGGGGGAGTCTGTAAGAATAGTTACACTCGACAGTAAAGGTCATTTGTATGTGTGAAGTAGAAGTAGATGGCATTTAAGTCCTTATTTTCCCTGACATCTTATGTGGATATTGTTCCTAATGTAGTTAAAATGTTAGTAAGATTATACCTTCTTCTACCAAATATGCTGTGCTAATTTTGATGTTTTACTAATTATTCTTTTAGCTTACTTAACATTGCACCCGAAGACAATCTCAAACAAACTGACTGCTCAAAAACAAAAACACAAATACTGGAAATGAAAAGATCAGCCAGCTTTGTAAAGAGAGTACATTAGTCCTTCATTCCAATCTGGGTTTCAACAAATGGCTAAATCTAAATCAAAACTTTTACTTTTAGTTTTCAGATGATTTCCAGAACTTTTTTTCCTTTTTTTCTCATTGATTCTTTTCAAAAGTTCTGATTTATTAAAAATGCATTCCTATGAAGATTTACACGGATATTATCGGGACTGGAGGGTTTAAGTTATGAGGAGAGGCTGGACAGGCTGGGACTATCTTCCCTGGAGCATAGGAGGTTGAGGTTACACAGGTTTATAAAATCATGAAGGGTATAGATAAGGTAAATAGCAAAGGTCTTTTTCCTAGATAGGGGAATTCAAAACTAGAAGGCATGGCTTTAAGGTAAGAGAGCAAAGATTTAAAAAGGACATAAGATGGCGCATAGATGGAATGAGCTGCCAGAGGAAATGGTAGATGCAGCTACAATTACAACATTTAAAAAGCATTTGGACAGGTTAATAAACAGGAAAGATTTCGACAGATATGGGTCAAATGCAGGCAAATAGGACTAGATTAGATTGGGAAAGCTGGTTGCCATGGACGAGTTGGACCAAAGGGTCTGTTTCTGTTCTGTATGGCTCTATACCAATACAAGGTTTTGGATATGTTTTTCTATAATATCAGCTTTTCCCTGAAGCATCAATGCCCACAACCAGCTTGCGTTTGTTTCACGTGGAAAAGACAGTTTAAAAAAAACTCATCATACCTTTTCTTGAATTCTACATCCATGCAAAATTGTCTTTTCTTGGGTGGTGGGGGAGGCACCAATCCCTGCTTCTGAACTGAATGTTCTGTGGTTATTTCAACCATCTTCACTGGGCTAACCTGAGTTAGTCCCAACTCAGACGTTGCCCGAGATATCTGTTGGATGGGAATTGGTTTTAGGGTGGGGTGGGGTGGAGGGGAGGTGGAGCAAGGACGGAATGCAAGACAGAAAACAAAAAACATATTTAACTTTTCAATCTTCAAAACTCCAATGAGGATTGCCCAATCTACTCAACCCCTCCTCACAAGACAGTCATCCATTTACCTCGTGAACCTTCTTTGAACTGCCTCCAATGTCAATATCTCTTTCCCTAGATAAGAAGACAAAAACTGCTTCCAGCATCTCAACTGTGGTCTGACTATTTTAGCAAGACCTCCCAATTTTTCTACTCCATTCCCTTTGAAATAAAGGCCAATGTTCCATTTGCCTTCCCTATTACATGCTGAACTTGGAAGCTACCTATTTGTGATTAATGCACAAAGACTCCCAAATCCCTCTGTTCTGTAGTTCTCAGCAGTCTTTTTTTCATCTGTATATTCAGCTCCTCTATCCTTCCTGCCAAAGTGCATAACCTTACAAGTTGCACACTTTACATTCCAACTGCCACGTCTGTGTCACTTGCTTAACCTATCTAATCTCTCTGTAGATTCTTAGTGTCATCCTCACTACTTGCCTTCACACCTATTTTTGTGTCATCTGCAAACATGGCTATAGTACTTCTACTTTCCTCGTCCAAGACATTAATATAGATTGTAAATATTTGTGGCCCCAGCACTGATCCCTGTGGCACATCACTAGTTATAGGTTGCCATTCTGAAAATGATCTCTTTGTCCCAAATCTCTCTCTCCTATTATACAACAAAGAGCTGCAGATGCTGGAAATCTGAAACAAACAAAAAACAGAAATTGCTGGAGAAACTCAGCAAGTCTAGCAGCATCTGTGGAGAGAAACAGAGATAACATTTCAAGTCTTCCAGTTCTCCACTCCTTTGGGACTTTTCCAGAAGCTATGAATTTTTAGAAGATTACTACCAGTATGTCCACTATCTCTGTAGCTACTTCCTTTGATATCCAGGATGCTTCCTATCAGGTCCAGGGGACTTACTGGTCTTCAGCCTCTTGGCACTTATGCTCCAGTGCTAGTTACTGTATTTATTTTCTCTCCTCCTTTTGCCCCTTGATTATGTAGTACTTCTGGAACATTATTAGTACCTTCTACTGTGAAGACTGATGCAAATCATTTATTCAACTCCTCGGCTATTTCCTGGTTCCCCATTATTATTTAATGGCTACATGATCATACTCATTTAACATCTATTTGTTAATTTTCATTCTTTCAAATATTACACACATTCAAGAAGCATCAATTTTGTCTTTTTAACCATTTTGCCCCATCTGACTTATCATCTAATAACTGTCAAAAAGTATATTTTTCTTCTCAAAAATCTAACTCTGCCTTATAACAAGGACTAAATGTTAAAAAGACAGTCCTGCATACAAATATATGAATCAGGAGGAGTAAGCCATTCAGCCTTTCAAGCTTGCTGAACTAGTCAATAAGATTATGGACTGATCTGACTGTGGCCCGTTCATGAAGGTTGTTAGATTTTGTAAACTAACAATCATGTGAGGTCAAGAGGATGAAGGATCCTCAGTTCAGCAACTATTTCTCGTAACCCTCCACTTATTACACAATTTACACAATGTAGACACATTTTAAATTACTATTTAGTTGAAAAGAAAATAATGAAGCTTGAAATAAAGGTTGAGTTAAAAAGTGCTATGGGCATGTAACACAATCAGGTGAATCAAGTGGCTAGGCAAGCAAGAAAGCCCGATCCAATAGCTCACAATCATCTGAATCCAAATATTGTGCAATGTGCCTATTACAACAACAGGCAGGTGGTTTTTGTCTGCATACCTGTGGCAAATGAAGATTCCAAAATTCAAAATGGCAAAATACATTGCTAGGCCCAGAATTACTATTATAGGGCAAGACAGCAATAATCCTAAGCCTAAAAGAATTTAAAGAAAGTATTCACTCAAGCTAAGAAGCTATTCAAGTTTTAAGATTACAGACAGATGGTAAACTGAAATAGTAAACGACTTTGAGGAATCCCACACTGCTCAGAAAAGGCAACATTAGAAAATGCCAGAGACAACAAGGTGTAGAGCCGGATGAACACAGCAGGCCAAGCAGCATCATAGGAGCAGGAAGGCTGACGTTTCGGGTCTAGACCCTTCATCAGAAAATGGGTAACTTCTTCAGGGTAGGCATCCTTAGAAGAGGCTTCGAAGTGGGGTTAAAATTGTATCAGAGATAGTAGGAACTGCAGATGCTGGAAAATCTGAGATAACAAGGTGTAGAGCTGGATGAACACAGCAAGTCAAGCAGCATCACAGGAGCAGGAAGGCTGACGTTTCGGACCTAGACCCTTCTTCAGGCCTCCTCTAGATCGGGGAAACCAAGCGGAGGCTTGGGGACCGCTTTGTGGAACACCTACGCTCAGTTCACACTAAACAAATGCACCTCCCAGTCGCAAACCATTTCAACTCCCCCTCCCATTCCTCAGACGACATGTGAGAGGGGCGGAGAGGTTGAGGCGATCGATGTCTCAACGGCAGTTGGAGATGAAGAGGTCGAGGGAGGGTAGGAGGCCTTGGGGTGGTGTCCAGGAGGAGGGGGTGTGTTGGAGGCGGGAGAAGGGGTCAGTAGAGGGAGGGTTAGGCTCACGATTAAAAAAGTAAGCACGGAGGCGGAGGCAGCAGAAAAACAGTTCAACGTCCAAGCGTGAGTGGTATTCATTGATGTGTGGGTGGAGGGGGACAAAGGTGAGCCCTTTACTGAGGACTGACCGTTCGTCCTCAGTAAGGGGGAGGTCTGGGGGCATGGTGAAGACTCGGCCGGGCTGGGTGCTACAGTCTCCTCTGGAGCTGCTGGCTGTGGAGGCGATGGGCGGAGCGACATCAGCGTTGGGCGGAGTTGCATCGGCATCGGTGGTGGGCAGAGTTGCGTCAGCGTTGTGTCAGCATTGGCGGTGGGCGGAACGGGGTAGGCGGCAGCAGCAGCAGTGTTGGCAGGTGTGTCCTCAGTGTCTGTGGTGTTGGTCTCGGAAATGGAGGCGGTGGCATCAGCAGCAATGGCGTTCGCTGTCCCGGAAGTGGGGTACCCAGCGACGGCGGATGTGATGTCATCCATGGGTGCTCTGACAGTGGCCACATGGCCAATGGCGGCGGGCACATTGTGGGGAAGGTCCTGGGTAGGGTTGGCAATTTGGGGGGTGGAGGAAGCCCGTTTTGGGTGGCAGGCACCAGTAAGTTTACTGTACTTACGGTTTTTAATGTCCAAGGGTGAAACAGAATCCCCCTCGTGCTCACATACCACCCCACCAACCTCGGATCCAACGCATCATCCTCCGACACTTCCGTCATCTGCAATCCGACCCCACCACCAAAGACATTTTTCCCTCCCCACCCTTATCTGCTTTCCGGAGGAACCACTCTCTCTGGGACTCCCTTGTCCGCTCCACACTCCCCTCCAGCCCCACCACACCCGGCACTTTCCCCTGCAACCGCAGGAAGTGCTACACCTGCCCCTACACCTCCCCCCTCACCCCCATCCCAGGCCCCAGGAAGACTTTCCACATCAAGCAGATGTTCACCTGCACATCTGCCAATGTGGTATACTGCATCTGCTGTTCCCGCTGTGGCCTCCTCTACATCGGGGAAACCAAGCGGAGGCCTGGCGACTGCTTTGCAGAACACCTCGGCTCGGTTCGCACTAAACAACTGCACCTCCCAGTCGCGAGCCATTTCAACTCCCCCTCCCATTCCTCAGACGACATGTCCATCCTGGGCCTCCTGCACTGCCACAACGATGCTACCCAAAGGTTGCAGGTACAGCAAATCATATTCCGCTTGGGAACCCTGCAGCCCAATGGTATCAATGTGGACTTCACAAGCTTCAAAATCTCCCCTCCCGCTACCGCATCCCAAAATGAGCCCAGCTTGTCCCCGCCTCCCTAACTTGTCCTTCCTCCCACCTATCCCCTCCTCCCACCTCAAGCCCCACCCCCATCTCCGACCTAGTAGCCTTATCCCGCCTCCTTGACCTGTCCGTCCTCCCTGGACTGACCTATCTCCTCCCTAACTCCCCACCTGCACTCACCTTTACTGGCTCCATCCCCGCCTCTTTGACCTGTCAGTCTCCTCTCCACCTATCTTCTCCTCCATCCATCTTCTATCCGCCTCCCCCTCTCTCCCTATTTATTTCAGAACCCCCTTCCCCTCCCCCATGTCTGAAGAAGAGTCTAGGCCCGAAACGTCAGCCTTCCTGCTCCTCTGATGCTGCTTGGCCTGCTGTGTTCAAGAAATGCATGCATGTGTGCTCTGTTAACAACATGCCATTTGTAAATTACCTTCATTACTAAAGGAAGAAATAAAGATATGGCACTTCGTAGCATTGACAATTTGTTACTGCTCAGTGGACAACAAGAAAGATGTTTACATCAGTAGCACTGCCTTTGGAGCATGAGGTCAAGCAGTTCAGAGAACAGAAGTAAATAAAAAGAAAGGAAAGTAAAACTGGGAAAAAAGTGAATATTGCAAGAAGCTGTTGAGTGGTAATTCAAGGCAACCAAATCCCCAAAAATGACACTGAAAACCACTGAAGTAAAACTGTACAAGACAAATACTTCTGCAAATACATATAGAGTGTGCTTTGAGTATGAATGAAAATGAACTATACTAAATTCAGCAAAGGTCACTCAATGCACAGCAAAGATGTGTAGGGGCAGGTGTAGCACTTCCTGCGGTTGCAGGGGAAAGTGCCGGGTGTGGTGGGGCTGGAGGGGAGTGTGGAGTGGACAAGGGAGTCCCAGAGAGAGTGGTTCCTCCAAATTACCTGATAGAGGGAAAGACCCAGTCTAGCTTGCGCACATAAGTGTTTTTCAGTTTTTGAGCAGGGCCTACAGCCAGCCAACAACCTTCTCTCAACCACTACATTTATTAATTGTCAAATGCTAACCAACCTGCATTTCCAATTCAGTTCCAAGTAAATTACCTTCGTCCAAGACAAGCCTCAGAATGTGTTCGAAATGACATCAACATACAAAATACATAGTTGGCGCCCAAAAGCTTAACTGCTCAGTTTGTATTTTTAGTTTCTGGCACATGCATCAACTCAGTTTGATGCTGCTCATACCTGTTCGGAGTAATCTTCCAGCTGCTGCGCTAAATTGTCCCATCTTTGCGATAGCACTTCCATACCACTGTTAATTTTCTTTGATAAATTACTATTGTTGAGCAATTCCACTAAGTCTTTATGAAGTTCAACCAGCTGGTCCAATGTAGGATGCTTCATTTGTAGGTCTTCCTTCAGAATCTAATAGGACATACATACAAATTATCAATGCATCCCTTTAAAATAAAGCAATGTGCATTCACTGTTCTGCTGTATTCTTTATAAATCTGCTTTGTCTCAGAGCGATGCAGAGATGAGACTCATTCTACGTCTGCAACAAGTTTGTTTACAATGCATTAAAGTATTTTAGCAATCAGGATTTCTGCAACTGCTCATAGCCCTGGCTTCTCAAATCTTTCAAGAAGCTTTTGATTGCTCTCAAAGTTGAGTCAATCAAGCACTGTGAACATTGATCAGTCAACAGACCAGTATAATTCAACATAGATCAATTAAACTGTTAAACAATACATAAGAGTTCAGCAGTCGCGCTTCTAGACAAATAGATGACAAAACTAACTAATCAAGGAAGCACAACATTTAAAATTATTAGTCCCTTACTAACAAAACTAAACAATTTTACTAGACAACAAGGTGCAGGGCTGGATGAATACAGCAGGCCAAGCAGCATCATAGGAGCAGAGAGGCTGACGTTTCGG